ATGACCAAAAATAAATTATGTGTTTGCAGGAGAAAAATGACGCAGTAAAACAATTATTAAAAATAGCAATAGTGCATCCCCTGAAGCTTTTCATATTAGTATTTAGTACGGGTTTATTTATGTTATCATCACTAATTTCGTTACAAGTATCAAGGCGCCCTAAATTGATTAACTCAGCCTGTGTGCCTTACAACCTGTAGCCAGGACCCACAACACCAGTAAGCTATCGCTAAAAGCCTCGACGGATGCGTATTAATTCAGTTTTCTGATATCGACGGCTAAATTTAGATGCAAGTTTGTCAATAAAGGAGGTTGCTTTAAGTAAACGCTGGCAGATTTTTTAAGCATAAATGATCTATCTTAAACTAGGTGCATCGTAGGAGTAATTTATTTTGAAAGCGAGTTTTAAAAGATCTCCTTCACTTCTAAGTTAATTACAAGCACGCCAGTTGGACAATAATTCAGGATCGTAAACGAAAAGTGATGATAATTTTGATAAACAATAATCTAAATCTACTGTACCAGCTTGGCAGTATAGACTTGAACGTCGTATTGCTGAGACCAAGACACTCATCGGTAAGCTAATTAGCTTTCGATCAGGGAATTCGCGGCCGAGATTGATGTGCTTTGTGAAACAGGCTTTCTTGGGGACGACCATTAGTCCTCAACAGTACATATCATGTGTTACAGAGCGTATAGACTCTCTAAAGCAGAAAATTTGTACAGGATAAAACGGTATAAAAACGAATAGATTAGTATGATCAGAATCGAATGTTCCAAAGAAATGAGAAGTGGGTGTACCTTAAATGGGAGGAACCGGATCCATGTGTGAGTGATGGGCATTTGCCAGATGAAAATGTCACAAATACATTTTGGCGTAGCATCCGGTCGGTGCCTGTCACACGTACAGAAGGTGATTGGTTGCGGGATGTCAGTCGGTCCTGTGAGTCTATTACATCTATGAAACTTGTTACTATTGATAAAGATGATGTAAGATGTGCAGTCCATTCATTACTGAATTGGAAATCACCTGGTCCAGACGGACTGCACAACTTTTGGCTTAAGTGGTTCCGAATCTCACATGCATGTTTGGCATCTCAACTCAAGGCAGCATTGGATTCGGCTTCATTACCCCAATTTTTAACCTCTGGCATAACCCACTTACATGTCACACTTACGTGTCATGGATCCTAAAAATTTTAGACCTATCACATGTTTACCAACCATGTATAAACTTCTAAAATCTATTCTGAGACTTAAAATTACTTTACACATTTATAATAATTCGACTATGTCAGTTTCTTAGAATGGATGTAGAAGTGGGTCCCGTGGCACTAAAGAGCTCATTATTATAAACATGACCATTAGCCAACAGGTACGTCGTAATCGTACGAGTTTGGCATCGGTTTGGTATCGTACATGGTAGATTATAAGAAGGCTTATAACTCGGTTCCACTTACTTTTGAAGGTGCTGGAGTTGTATAAAATTGATACAACTCTGTGCACTTTTTTGGTGTCATGTATGGGGCAAGGGAGAACAGCACATCGCTATCCAAGATGTCTGGCAGACTGCGGTAAACGAGGTACTATTAAATATCGAGCGGAGTATATTTTAAGGTCTGGATCTCTTGTGGTTTTGTCTGGCTTTGTACCCGCGAAAGTTACATAATCGCAAGACATACAATCTCTATTTTCTCTATTTTCTACATACTGATGTGGGAGTGCATCGCAATGTATTCACTCCGATCACTCTGGCTAAAGAGAATTGCCGCAAAGCTGTAGTATTTAGTACTAATGATCGCAGAGAAGTACTTAAGGGCAAAGAGCTCCATGGTCGGTTTTATCGGGCACTAAATGGGTCCAATATAGACTTAAAAGCATCTACGACTTTTTACGGCTTTTTTTGTGCGATTATGGACAAAGTTATCATGACGAATAACTATCGGAAATATATTCTGAAAGATGGTATGGTTAACATCTGTCGGGCATGCCACCGTCCTAGGGAATCCATCAGGCATATATTTCTGGTTGTTCTCGTCTCGCTAACGGTGAATATTTGCACAGGCACAACCAAGTAGCCAGGATCGTACACCGACAGCTTGAGCTTAAATACCAACTTGTAAATCTAGAAGTGCCATACTACAGGTATGTGCACGACCCAGTTCTCGAGAATGGTCGGTCCACGTTGTGTTGGGTACGATCTATTTTCACAGACAGTCCTGTCTTGATAGTGATTGTTGCCAATAAGCCTGATATTGTGGTGATAGATCAGAGACTTATTGTTGATATCGCCGTTCCTCATGGCAAGAATCTCGTGAAAGTTGAAAAAAAAAAACAAATAAAATATTTGGATTTATCTCACGAGATTGTTGATATGTGGAATGTGGATTCGGCGATCATTGTTCCAATTTCATTTCATTTCATTCAATTGTCATTGTTCACACGGATGATAGCCAAGAACCTCGACCAACACCTTAAGAGGCTCACGTTAGAGGGCTCTTAGCCTGTTGCAGAAGGCAGTTCTTCTTGACACGGCCCGCATAATAAGGAGGTTCCTGTCTTTAGAGTCCTAACTACCCATGTCTTGGTCCCTGTACCCGATGCCAGTGGTCTACAATATGTTTTTAAAGGTACTATTTTTCTTTTGTAAAAAGTTTAAAAAATTAAGCAATATGTAAATTTAATGTAATAAAGAGAATAATAATATTCTACCACATTCACACAACGCTATCTAGTCCAAACGAAAGTGGAGCTTGTACTATGGGTACTAGAGAACTGATATAAATATATATTTTTTTGTTATTATCAGAATTAATACCTATATATTTGCTTCCAAGAGCAATAAATTTATGTTTACTTGATGCTTGACTGATTTCGAGTTAGTCGGAGGACCTACCGCGGAACCGAGTCGGTGGCAGGCACCCTTGTAATATACAGGCAAGGAACCATAAATAAAAACCATAATATAAACCATAACTTGCATCGGAGCCATATTTCACCAGTTCCAGCGTAAGTCAAGGTAGCAACCTTGGGCCTCTAGAATTCATTATAATGATTAATGATCTACTCAGAGTAGTCCAGGATGCGAAATGCTTACTGTTCGCAGACGACCTCAAGCTCTCCCTCCCTATTAACAACTTGGAGGACTGCAAGAAGCTTCAGACAGACATAGATAGGGTGGTAACCTGGAGTAGAGACAATCTCTTGCAGTGTAATACCTCGAAGTGCGTGGCTATCACCTTCTCACGCTTACGCGAACCCATCTCGTATAATTATAATTTAGACGGGACACAGATGGTAAGGGTCACAGAGGTTAGGGATTTAGGGGTTTGTGTTAATACTGAGCTAAGATTTCGTGATCACATAGTGAAATGCTGTAAAAAAGCTTATAGGAATTTGGGTTTTGTTTTACGAACAGTAAGGGACTTTAGAAACCTAAATACAATTATAGCATTGTATAAAGCGTTGGTAACAAGTCAGCTAGTAACAGTCAAGAGAGTAACGCAGTCATCTGGGCCCCACATGAAGCTAAATATGGCCTCATGTTGGAGCGAGTTCAAAATAAATTTGTTAGGTTTTTGTACTTCAGATACTATGGAGTTTACCCATTGTATCCATTAATGTATCCCACGTTATTTATTCTGGGTATGGTGGGATACAATGAACTGAGGGTCAGAAGGGAACTCACACTCGTCTCGTACCTGTTTAGGGTACTTAGGGGTGGGATACATAATGAAGACGTGTTAGGACGAATCAGCATATGTGTTCCGGACAGATACGTGTGGCGGCGTCGCCGTCCGCCGCTGCTGGCTGTCCCGTGTGCACCAACCTGCAGAGAGAAGCACCGCTGACGCGCGCACTACGTACTCTGAATAAAATTGCGGATGAAATAGATTTATTTTATTGCTCACTGAGTGAATTCACAATAACAGCATTAAGAATTATTTCTTATAATAAATAAGTAGATGGTATAACACTATTGCATTGGGCTAACCTGTCATAATAGTTGTTGTTAAAGAAAATAAATAAATAAACTTTAAATGGATATGATTTCTATCGCTAATGTACTTATTAGAAAAACATATTTAAAAAACCTTATTGTCCGGAAAGGGGCGATTTCGAAAATGGAAGGTTATATCCAATAGGGATTCACAATAAGAATTCACAAAAAAAAACTGATTTTCAATAAATGTGTACATACTGAAATATATATTATGTTTTAATGGAATTGTTTACATGCCCCGCATAATCAAAAATTTTAAAGACAGTTTTAAGTTACATAATACTCGTAGTATGACTGTAATGTTTAAACCACACGTCGAAAGCGATTTCACTTTTTTTTCATGCTTGCATCTCTTGCTAAGCGTGTCTCTGGCGGAAATGGACTTAAGAACATATAATAACAATGGATTTTGATTAATCTATCATTTTCGGTTCATTTATTTTATAACATTTTCACCTAAATAAAATGCGTCAAATGCACTGTTACCGAACTGAAGCTATTCAAAAAGTGGAAAAACCTAAAAGCAACATATAAAATTACAGATAGTGGGCTGCCGTCACTTAAGAGCATCCTCACGAGTTTCTTCAAAGAATATTCTCATGGTGTGTTCACGGCGAGGGGGAACTCTGTTGCCATACGGATGCATGGTGGATACTACTACGAGTACATGTTCGATCCCCATGGGTGTGATAAAAATGGGTTTCCAAGTGATGAACCGCGTGCGGCCGCTTGTCTTATTGACAGTTTTAACATATCTCCGGACAGCATTAGTGCGACTAAACTTAATACAGAAATTGGTGCCCCCTTTTTTTTCCGTGCGGAAATCCCCTCGGATACCACCTGTCGGTGGCATGTCGGACTCGAACCGACTAAAACCGCACGCCGTCTCGGGTACTAATAGCCGGGGAACCAGGTATACCCAGAAATTGGTGCCCCTGAGACAAAGTTAGAGAATAAAGCGTTCGAGTGGATAAAAAAAGCTACAGCAGCTATAATGATGGGTCCTCGCGGAAAGAATGCTGCCATCGAAAAGGCTGCTGAGAGGGCAGGAATATATGATGACGACAAGGCAAGGCGCAACATTGGACTGCCAGCGGCCGCGGCTTACGTGGCTGCGGCCAGCGCCACCCCCCAAAAGGATCAAATGTACAACTTTTTAGATACGGGCGCCGAATATTACTTGAACCTCTTACTGATGCGCGTTCACCGCTACCCGTCTGAATAATAATAAATAATTAAATAGTAATTCTAATTAATAATTTATTAGTAATTCCAAGCTTAATAATATTCTAAGTATATTGACTCACAAAACCGCCAAACCTACATAATTATGTTCTAAAGGTATGTTAGTAATACTTTACATACAAATGAATCCATATTGCTTCTAAATTTAGTTAATTAACGTTTATACAAGTAAAGTTTTAATTAATAGTTTTAATTAATTTGTACCGTGCTGAGAACAAATTATCTTCATTGTCTCGGCTTACGACAACCTGGCACCTCGCTCTAGTGTGCTGTGAGAGTTTGTCAATACGTTCATATACATATTTTCTTATAGGAAAAATGTCAGTGTGCAACAGATTACAATCATCTATCTAATTACCTTTAAATGAGCAATTCTGGCATATATGTATACATATATATATTGAAATTTCATGAAATTTAGTATGCAGGGGGTTTCGAGGACGAATAATCGATCTAAGTTTCATTTTTAGAAAATTTACAAAAAATACCGGTCAGGTACGAGTCGTACTCGTGCGCCGAGGGTGTCGTACCTACCCCGATTTTACGTAGATTTGCGCGAAAATGTATAAGTACCAAAATTTATCTTAATTTTTACTTTTTTTATTTTTTGGAATTATTCCTTTATTTGTGTTTTTGGCAAATTTCGTGATTCTAGGTCAACGAGAAGTACTTCCGGTTGATCTAGAATTGTCAATTTTGGTCTTACAGCACAAGTAAAGAGAAAATTCTGAAAAATAAACATAGTTGAAAATTAAGGTAAATTTTGGTACTTACAAGTTTTCGCGAAAATCGAAATTAGCCCATATCTTTTTATCGTGTTGACTCAGGACCTTGATTTTTATACACCTAATAGGGACCATAGACCTCAGTATCTGGTATAAATTTTAACTTGCTAGGTCTACCCGTTCCTGAGAAAATCGGTGGTGACACACGGACAGACGGAGAAGAAAGTGATAAGGGTTCCTTTTTACCTTTTGAGGTACGGAACCCTAAAAACGGTCATCCAGGTACTATTTTTTTATAGGAATAATCTCTGTGTGCAACAGATTAAAATCAATTATATTTACAGTCTATTTGTCCAACCAAAGGCTTTTTAGCGATAAGGCCGCCATTTGTACATGATCATTACATTGGAATACTATTGTATGTATAATGTACTGAACTGGTGTACAATAAAGATTATTCTATTTTATTAAATAAATTGGAGAACGAATAAATTTTTATTTGATAGTTCAGGCAAAGCCTGTAATAATACATACTGAACATACATAATAATAATACATACATACCACATACACCCGGCTCCTGCGTCCCAAAAGCAGCCGAAGATAAGACTGCATTTTCAGTCATGACAAACAACAAAAAACTAATGAAGTGGATTGTTCCTCATCATTACATGTATTTCTTAATAAGCTTAGCCAAGATTATCTGAACTATTTTTAATGACACTTATATTGCGTTTGTTTGTTACGCCTAAACCACTCAACCGATTTTGACCGACTCAAAATCTTTCACCAATGGTAAGCTACATTATCAGCGAGTAACATACTACTTTTCACAGCGGTAATCGACATACACGCGGGTGGAGCCGCGGGCAAAAGCTTGTTTTCAAAAAATAATCTCTCAAGGTTTGACCGACCTGATAACTGAGAAAGCTCGATCTGACAGAAGATAGTACAGCGTATATAACTTTGCGTTCTTCGTTTTTCTTATTATAATTTTAATAGGTGCAGGAATCGCCTTATGATAAAGTATTGCTAAGGTCTTAGGTAGAAGTCATGACAGTAGATTACCAAATGCGTTTATTACACAGTCTTCAACCCACTGAGCTTTTCATAATCAACCCTACCCAGCAGCTTTCAGCAGCATCCAGCAGAATCAATTAAATTGCACTTTATATGTTTGCTCTGCTCGATATTATCCTGGCTCATTTTCTTGCTTGGAATCAAATGACACAAGTACCACTGTTATAGCATCGGGAAATGCTGATTTGCAATCAAAGTTCATAATAATCTTCTTTCATTGAATATAGTATATTCATCCTTTGAAATCTTGACCTTAAGCATACAAAGTTAATTTAAAATGAACTCTCAATGACTCTCAATGACTGATTAACTCAATTTAATTTTCGTATTTTTAAGATTCGTAACAAAGCGCCATCTTAAGGAGCTCTAAGGAGCTAGTAGTAACCACAGCTAAACTTTTCGAAACCGTTTCTGTCATATATATGCATTCGTACTCCCTTGAAAATTGTTTTAGAATATTTGAAAGAGTTGCAGATACATAGATGGCGCACTACACGAAAAACCCTAACGCAATTGTTAAGGTTGTCGCGTCTGGTGGTTAGTGACTCTGACTGCTAAGCCGGAGGTCTAGGGTTCGATTCTCATGGGTAGATGGGTGGGCTCAGGACAAATAAATGTTTGATAAGCAGGATCGTTTGTAATGTGTCTAGGTGTATTGTATATGTAACTAGCGATCTGCCCCGGCTTCGCAGGGGTGCAATGTAGATACTACTAATACTACTAATTAATGGTGTTAGTGTGAAGTAATGAATTGTACTATTATTATAACAAGACAATACAACAGGACATCTTTATGCAATATTTGTAGGCCCACTCCGCTCCTGCGGGCGCTGCCACCCCAGACAGACATACGGCCCGTCGCTAACGCGGCGATACAGTCGCTTTACCCCCAAATTTTAAATCTCTAATATCTACTAAGATATTCACTCAAATGCTATGGTGCATTAAATGCACAACGTATTTAACGTATTTATTTGGATAAAGAATAATACTGTATTGTTCTTTATAGCTTCGTAAATTACCCATTATTTTTTGTAATACGTGAAAGATAAAAATGGTCACTATGGGTTATCCTTAGGAGATAGACCTATACCATCGCAAACCTTTTTGTAGATCTTTTTTAAGATATACACTTGTATATCTTAAATTATTTTGATTTATCTCGTAAAGTTTAGCCGGCGTTTGCAATACATATTACAAATCTTAAAAAATCTGGGAATTCCTCTAATATAATATTATACATATAAACTCGCCCCTTGAATAACTCTCTATTGGTATAAACCGCATTTAAATTTATATGAAACTTCGTGATTTTTGGTAGTAGCATTTTCAAACTCACAATAAATACTCTTTATTAAAAGTAATGAAAACTTTGTTACAATTTTTTCAAAACTTCCCTTAAAAGGGATGCAACTTCGTATGGGGAACTATTTTTTTAACTTATCGATTCCAAACTCTCAGCATAATTCACACAACGCCATCTAGTCTCAAACTAAGCAGAGCTTGTATGCTAACTAAGCAGAGCTATGGGTACTGATAGAAATGCATTTATGCTTTTGTTTAAATACGTATATACATATTATATATGAAAAAACACCCAGACCAAATCAAACATTAAATGTCCTTGCACACAAATGTTTAACTTGAACGAAAACCAAACCCGTAACCTTTGGCATAGATGAGTATGTATTTAGAAATATTTAAGTATGTTTATCAGCAGTCTGGTTCCGATAGTATTTGGCTTTGGCTAGTTTGGGATCAGACTACCGTGTGTGAGATGTGTAAACTCATTAATTATTAATGTACTGTGTGCTAGGTGAACTTTAAGTTGCATATTTTATATTAACGCCATCTGTGTTAGGGTAGCAGTATTATTACCACACCAAGACCCTTTTCATTTGCATAACTATACAACAAGTGATTGTTTAACGACATCTATTTTAGGTGATGAAGAGATGTTACCCAAGTAGAATACAACACAGCGTCGTTGCATGGGTGCGGTGTACATATATTAAAAGGTGACAGAAAGCAAAATAGAGCGGCTAGATGTCAGTAATATTATGTATTGCCCATTTACAACGTTTTATTTATAAACTCATACGTTTTGTAAACTTTGATTATTGGTATACAAGTCATAATGGACTTATTTTATCAAACTTTGTAAATTGTAAGCATTGAAGTTTTTTTTTTCCATAAATATTTTAATAATAATAGGTTACCTATGAAGTTGGAGATTTTTTAAACCAGCAAATTCAGATTTAATCATCTGTGGAATGGCGCGCAATTCGAAATTCAAATAAATTTTATTCGACTACAGAGTTTACAGAGACTAAGTAACCTAATCTCTCTTTTTCTCTGTTTTTTTTTCTGTCAGTCAGTTGGAAGACAAACGGTTATTATTAAATTGTTACAATTGTAAAGTTCAAAGTACTAAAGCCATCTATTGCGGGGTGAGGGAAAAACTAATTCATTTAATGGACACAGATGGCAGCACTACTGGTAAATGGCTGAATTCATACTTCTTGACGGGCGATCACTGAGTAAGCCTTTGTAACTACAGAAAGTTTCACTTAAAAAAAGAAAAAGGTAATACTCTTTTATGTCGAAAAACTTACTTCAATAATGTATTAAAAATTATACAACACGTTCACATATGGCGTTATGTGTGCCTGAAAATAATTAATATGGCCTGTTCAGGAAAATAGAGAATCTGGCTATGGAATGGCGCGCAATTCGAAATTCAAATAAATTTTATTCGACAGCCAAGTTATTTTAATTCAGTCATCATTCAACTCTCATTCAACTCAGTCAAATTCAGTCATTAGTTTTAGATAGGGTTTTGTTTTTGTAAAAACTGAAACTTCTTCATTGCGTTTTTATTACAACATCATGTATAGTCATACCCATGTAAAAATAAAGATGTTACAGCAGACTTACCAGTGGTACTATACCCATGTCTGAATAGCATTTTACCGATTGAATGAAATAACGTACAGGTTTCACATTTTTTACTTTACAGAGCAATAAATTAATACAAATTAACACTTACACTATCTTGTACTTACTTAAATATACTTACTTATATAAAGTAAAAATAATCGCTCCAAAAACAATCAATTATTACTTTCTTAACAAACACTAAGAAACTTTAGAATGTACCATCACATGGTTTTAA